GAGGGCAGTGTCACTGGCCCTCATATGTGGGATCCGAACCGGGGCCCTCTGGCGTCCCAAGCCAGCTCTTAACCATCGTGCCACTCGGCCGGCCCCCATGTACTATTTTTAAACCATGCACTTATATTATTTTGATAAAAAATGTTTTCTAATTGGATTAGAATTAGAAAAAATGATTTAATCAGAGTACTCATTAAAATTCTCATTCTGTGGCTGTTGTTAATTTGTAAGTCTTTTTCTTCCTTACCTTCTTCCCACCTGGCTTCTCCATAGTAAAAACTTCATTCCAGATCTGAATCCCAGTGGTTTCTGGGTCAGAGCCCCCTCTCCATGAAAATCCTGTTAATGGTTCTTCTGGGTCACCCAACCAATTTGAATGGCCACCTTCCTTCTACAGGACAAATAAGACATTTCCATTAAATCTTAGATTTTGAGTAATTTCACACATCAAAGATAATCCATGAGCTTATTTTGCTCTTTTGGACATAAATTCTCATTTTCTAATTTGAGGGGAAATAAATCTACCTTACCTGAGAATACAAGTATCGGAGCATAAAGTCCAGAATGAAGGACTTGCCCTTCCGGAAAGCACCAGCCACTGACACCACCACCACATCAAGGTCTCGGATGTGGTCCTGCAAGAGGACGCTGGCCAAGGCTTTCTCTTCTAGCTCAAAGGAATGTTGGTCTTTCTGAACCAAAACAATCTGCACTGGACCAGGCTTTCCACCCTCCATGGCATCACCTATGTTGTTATGGAGAAAAACATTAGCTTCACGTATTTCTTAAATGTGTATTTTTGAACATGGGAAGAGCAAAAACTTCTTAAAGTACCAAACCACTAACCATAAAAGAAAATAATGACACATTAGACTTCATTAAAATTAATTATTGTTCACTAAAAGACACCATTGGGAGTAAAAATGCAAGCCACAAGATAGAAGAAATACCACAATACCTATATGCAAAAGACTTATATCCAGAATCAATATAGAAATCTGTAAAAATTCAAACATTCAATTTTTAAAATAGTAATGGGCAAAAGACTGTGAATAGGCACTTCATTATTTATATATATATATATATATATATATACACACACACACACACACACACATATACATATATATCCAAATAATTATATATCAATAATCACATGAAAAGCTGTTTCCATACCATTACATATCAAAGAAATATAAATTACAACCATGAGATCCACTACCTGTCCAACAGAATAGCTAAAATTTAAGACGGACAGTATCAACTGTGGGAAGAGGGTGTGGTACAAATGGAATTCTCATACATTCTGATGGGAACATAACCGCTTTGGAAAACTGTTTGGCAATGTCTACTAAAAGTAATATACTGTGATCCAGCAATTCCACTCCTAGGTATATACCTAAGAGAAATAAATGCTTATGTCCACCAAAAGATACACATACAAGACTGTTCACATCATTTTTATTCAAAATAGTCCAAAACTGGAAATAACCCAAACATCCATCAACAGAAAGAGTGCCTGCCGCTGCTATGCCTTTTGCATGTTATTTTATTTAATCCTCAGAACAATCCTATGAGATAAATAATACTGTCCCATTTTAAAAACAAGGAAGCAAAGGCTTACAAAAGTTAAGCCCCTTGCCCAATAGGTCCTGAAGAGCTTGCAAAGATCTTTAGGTGGCTATGTTTTGCAGACCACTATTAATAACATCATCAAAGTTTTAGGGGCGATAAATTCCTTAGCTCAAAATTAAGCACTAACCAGTAGTTTCCCTACCAGAGCTGAAAGCAAAAAAAAAGTGATTCTTTGAAATTCAAAGCCACTTAGTAGCTATGGTATATGGAAAGTTTACAAAAAACTACCAGTGGGGCCTAGGGACCGAGGCAAAGCACTATTTCCCTAAACGTACGTACCACTGATATTAAATGAGATGTTTTAGGCAGTTCAAAGGATTTTTATTCTAATAATCATGCATTTTAATGTCTACTAGGAAACAAAACCATGTTTTAATGTATTATTGCTTAGAAGGGGGCTAAGTCTAAAAAGTGAATCAATTTAAAGTACACTGAAGGACAAACATTAAGTAAAACATAGTACAGCTAGGCAAATATGGCCCAAAATCACAAATATGGTCACCAAATTACGTTTGTCTGGGAAGTGCTACAGGCTGCATGATCACAGCAGGCAAAGTCGACAACCTTCAACTGCCAGACTCTACCCTTTAAGCTATGCAAGTGCTGCTCACTTTTTATACTTTATCAGGGAGAAACAGAAGGGTTCTTGCCACTTCTTAATTTTTTGCCAACTACTGGAAAACAAGTTATAAATATAGGTTGAATGTCCTGCTATCATTGTAATAAATGCATACTAATGCTTTTCTTTCCCATTATTGGTGGATAAAAAGAAAACATTTCTGTGAATAATCTCTTAGGGTTCTTCTTATTGCCACAACAGCAGGTGAATCCAGGACCTAAACACCTTCAGCCTTTCATATAAAAGAACTAATGTCAAAAATTTATTCTGACCTTATGGAAAACCACAGTGTAAGGTACTGTGCAGTACTCAAAGCACTACCAAGCCAAGTGCCTGGTTGGCTGGTTGCTCCCCCAAGATTCATTTTCCCCTCCTGCTACAGTAATAGATTTATAGCTGGACACATATATAACAGCCCAAAAGAAACACTTCCAGCCCAACCTTGCAGCGAGGGTATCGCCATGTGACTAAGTTCTGACTGGAAATGATGCAGCAACTTGCAGACCGTGCATCCTTCCCCTGCCTGCTGGCCACACGTAGAAGTGGGAGCAAGTCGTCCTGGACCAGGCACACGAGGGCAGCACCCTCGGAATACTGGAGCGACAGAGAGAGGGAGGGCCTAGGACTTCGAGGAGAACTGCGACGCTGGCTCACTCTTACGTGAAAGAAAAGTAAATGTCAACCTTGTTTAAATCCCTTATTTGAAGGCTCTATCAGATACAGTCCAACCCAGAAACCAACACAACAGTCCCCCGGGACTTGACAATTAAACTCACGATACTGGCTTTTCGATTTTGTCTATTTCACTATTAAAGTTTACTGAGCAAGGTGAACGTACTGACACAGAGCAGACAAACAATAAACGACGGTAAAAAGAAAGAATGATATGTACTGAAATATAATTGAAGGCTTCAACCCTCAGGATGCAGGTGGTACTGTTAGAGCAACAAGTTGTATGGGCCACAGACGAGATGGAATAAGCCAGTGGCAAAAATGTGTGCAGCCGCACACAAAGCATTTGCACTTCTAGAGAAGCTGAAGACCACTGAGAAGGACAGTTTTGAAAAAGGTGCTCCAGCCTTCACTCGTCTCTTCCTCTTTCTGCCTATGGCACAGTGAGCAGGAAGGGAACCAGGGTATGTTTAGTTGGGGGAACTGGGGTGATCCTGCACTTCTCTTCACAACAGTATATTGGGCGTACTGGACTAAAGATCTTGTTCCTTTGGTTTGGGCCCACTTAAGGGAAAAATTATTTTGAACTGTACACATCAGCAAACTTCAATTTAAACAAATAGAGCTGCTCACTTTTTACCTTTACCTCACTTCCTAAGACACTAGGACTATATTACTGATCTTCCAAGGAAAAACTTTATTTCTACTCACCCCTTGCCAGATGTCATGTAAATGTCTTTTGCTGATTTATCTTCACATCTCAGACTCCCCAATCCCTTAGACTACTTAATCCAAACCTTAGGGCCCACTCCCTTAGGTCACGCCACCTTCCAACCCTTCTTGCCTATTAGGTTTATCATCCAAGTCACCATCCCCAACTGTTGCTCTTTTTTTTTTTCTTTTTAGCTGAGCCATCCGGCCACCTGTTGGCAGCTTAGCGGCAGCTCAGCTCGGGCTGGGAATCAAACCACTGTTGTTCAACTCTTGAGTGAGCTCTTAACCAACTGAGCCACTCGGCCAACTGTCGCTTTAACGATGATGACACCTCATCTCCTTAGGGCTGAGCTCCTTCATCACAGTGCATACACATATCAGGACAGCAACCACACAAAAGGCTACCACAAACATTTATGGACTGACAGCTCAAAGCTAAAATCTCCATCCTACAAGTCAAAGCCTTTCACCCTTCCCCCCACTGCTTCAATTCTAATTCCTCATTCTCGTCCTCCCAGGCAAATTTATTCTCATTGGTCTTTCTACTGGGAGAGTTAGTTAGGATTCAGGTCCTGCCCTGTCTTGATTCCTGAGTTTCAAGTGTACAACCTATTCAACTATTTGTTCTCACCGCCCGAAATGCTTCTTCCCTCTTGATTGCACACAAACAGGATCTCATCCTTCAACACTCACCCTCACCCTCCCTTTGTCCCGATCCTCCTCAGCCCTTCCTCTCAGAGCTACCACTTTACAGGGTATACGAAAAGAAAACAGGCTCTGGAATCACCACAGGACAGACCGGCCTTCAATCCTTACTTTCTCCCCTCTAGAATGTAAGCTCCATGAGAGCAGTGCTATATCCCCCAAGACCCCAGAACAGCGTCCACACATAGTGGACATCCAATAAGTATTTGTGGAATAAACTAATAAACCCCACCACTTAGTCACAATGTGACTATGGATAAATTTCTAACCCCTTGTAGCTCATTTATAAATCTAATACCCATCTCAAAGCAGTGTCTGACACATATTAGGGACTCAATAAAGTGGACCTACTATCATATTTCCACTAAAACCTTATACATACTATTACTCCACTCATTACATTACTATATTGTAATTATGATTTATCGCCCAGACTGGGAGCCCCTGGGCAGTAGAGAAACTGTCACATTCAGCTCCAGTACCTAATATAGTAAGAATAATATTAATAATTTCCTAGTATTGGGACCACTAAACCCAATATTACACCTCAATAAAAATCAGTTTCTTCCCTTCCCCCTCAAGTCTTTCTTTTATTGTCAAAATCCTTGAAAGTATGTCTTCATCCACTTATCTATCCATTCCCCTCTTATCACCTTGAGATCTTTCTTCTTAATCTCTGTTGAAACTATTCTCATTTATTTATGACCTCTTGCCAAATCTAATGGCCCTTTCTTGATTCTCATTCAACCTTATCTGACAAAATACAACTGCCACCCACTTCTAACTTATTAAAACCTATGGATTCAGTGACAGTGCACATTCCTAGTTATCTTTCAACCTCTTGATTATCTCCTTCCACTAGTTCTTTTCTTCTTTTCAGCCTCCTGTGATAGACACCAGTGCCAGTTCTGATTCACTCCCTCAATGAGCAATTTATGCTCATTATTTCACAATACCCTCTATTTTGGTGATGCAACTTCATTCATTTCTAACCTGCATTCAGGTCCAAATGTACACCTGCCTATGTGACAGATTCACCTGGATATTCCACCATCACTTCACTCTCAGGAGTAATCTGTAGAAATATATGGGCATAAGTCAGGAGACAAGATCCTGCTCCAGTTCTACCACTAACAGCCTGTGTGATTCGGGGCGTGTCTAGTCTTCAGCCTCAAGTTTTAAAATGAGTCAGGATTTAACCTCAAGCAATCCTTCCAGTACTAACATTTTATAAATCTACATTTAGTATGATCATAATGAATCCCCAGTTACTGATCTCTCTCAAATCTCCACCTTTCAGACTCTACATCTTCTCTGACTCTCTTCCTATATGCAAAATACTGTCAAATCCAGTCATTTCTTCCTTGCCCGATTTAAGCTACAGCTTTGGCAAAGGTTGT